GAACTGGATTCGATCCCTGGGTTGGGAAGATCCCCTGGAGAAAGAAATGGAAACCCACTCCAGTATTCTTGCCTGGAGAATCTTATGCACAGAGGAACCTGGCAGGTTATATAGTCCATGGGGTCACGAAGAGTGGGAGATGACTGAGAGACTATGATTCATTCATTCATCTGGGAGAGAAATCATTAAATATGATCAACAGTGGCATGTTTACTTTTGAGGGTTTTCCTTGTGTTCCACAGGATGAATATCAATCAAACCAGGAATATTTTTTAAAAGCACATTGTGTTTCAAGAATTCTAAGGTGGGGCCACAGTTTTTCATCTTAAACAAGCTTAGTTTTAACTAAATGTCTGGTTGATAAATGGCCATTGTGAATAGCACAGAGGTAAAAGAGCCATGGCTGATAGCCATGGCATCCAGTCTCATCACTTCAGGGCGAATAGATGGGGGAACAACGGAAACAGTGGGAGACTTTATTGTTTCCGGCTCCAAAAATCACTGTAGATGGTGACTGCAGAGACAAAATTAAAAGATGGTTACTCCTTAGAAAAAAAACTATGACCAACTTAGACAGCATATAAAAAAACAGAGACATTACTTTGTCAACAAAGATCTGTCTAGTCAAAGCTATGTCTTTTCTAGTAGTCATATATGGATGTGAGAGTTGGACTATAAAGAAAGCTGAGCGCCAAAGAATTGACGCTTTTGAACTGTGGTGTTGGAGAAGACTCTTGAGAGTCCCTTGGACTGCAAGAAGATCCAACCAGTCCATCCTAAAGAAGACCAGTCCTGAATATTCATTGGAAGGATTGATGCTGAAGCTGAAACTCAAATACCTTGGCCACCTGATGTGAAGAACTGACTCATTTGAAAAGACCCTGATGCTGGGAAAGATTGAAGGCGGGAGGAGAAGGGAATGACAGAGGATGAGATGGTTGGATGGCGTCACGGACTCAACAGTCATAAGGTTGAGTAAGCTAACAGTTTTTTATTCTTTAACCTTGAATGAGCCACATAAATAATTTCAGATCAAAAATATTGCTGTTTAAAATTGTTTGGAATATTTGATCAAATATTCAGTAAATGGTAGAGCTTGGGATTTACTTCAATGAATCTGAGCTCGATTTTATGTAAAAAGATTTAAGTCAACACAGAGACCTGACTGAGCGACTGAACTGAACTGAACACAGAGACCACTCTAATGGATGTTTTACCAGTTGAGGTAACTGGCAAAAATATCAAAACCAGAAAAAATGTCATATACTGTTAACATTTTCATGCACACAAATGTACACTATTTGGGAGAAAAATTATTCATGTTTATAAAATCAGGAATAGATTTCTGTGCTTAAATCTTATCATTTATGTGTGGCAATATTCTATATTTTTAAAATACATTACAGTGCAAAAACACATAATGACATAAAATAAATTAGAGCTCTTGGTTCTGAATCTTTTATTCCTTTGAAAATCTCTATCATTTGTGTTGAATTATATTTTAGACTTAACAGTTAAATATGCATAAGTAATAACATTCTTGTAAATATTGTAGAAAATGCAAAGATGTGATAAGAATTCTGTCTGGAAAATGAGTACGGAGTATATTACTAACGGAAATGATCAGACCTGGGCTTGAGTGATGAAAACCTTCATTCCCCAAACGCAAGAACCTGACTAAATGCAGGTGTGTTCATTTTCCAAAGAAAACAGAACTAAGAAGGCTCGGTTTGCTACATTAATTTTGGCAACTTATACACATCCCTCACTAAATCTTTCAAAAATCCCTTTTAAAGACAAAAAGCAGGAATATCACAGTTGCAACATCACAGAAGCACCTGAACCAGGAAACGTGAGGTGTAATGGGATAAATGTTAGCAGTGATCTGAATCCTGAAAAATATGTTTTAAACAAAATTTACTTCTTATATAACGTCCATGTTCTGTATCCTAAGACTACACTTAAGAGTGAGTCCTTCCTGCCAATATGGAGAAGGGTCTCTCCTACTTTTCTCCTTCTTTTCCCCAAAATTCCTGTGGAACTCTGGATGGGGTAATTCTATTCAAAAAGACAGTTTCTTAATCCTGTTCTAAGTATCTGAAGTTGGATATACATGTAAATTCATTACTAAGTTCCCCTACTTCTCTAAGATCCCAAGACTGAACCACATGCCAATGGGAATCTCAGAACCTATGCCTGCCCATGTTGATCTCTCACAAAGGGAATATTTTCACCAGTTGAAAGTCACTAATTCAGGTTGAGAATTCATCATGCTCTATAGAAAGCCAGGATACAGACAAGGGAGACAAGGTTCTGGGACACAAGGGAGAAGTGGTCTAAAGAGCCGGTCCTCACTATGATAAAAAAAGGAGAAATTAAGAAGTTGATAACAAACAGGCCAGGCAGAAAAATTAGAAGCCAAGAACTAAAGGTTTACAGGTTCCCTCAGTCCAGGCATTTCAGGAGGAAAAGCAGACACAGCCCCAGACTCAGGACAGGACATGTACCTGAGAAGCTGCCGTTTCCTCCTCTTCTTCCTCCTGCTCTGAGTCTTCTCTGGGGATGTTATGCAGCAAACGTATCTCTGCATCTTGAGAAACACCTTCAAAGGCATCCGCACAGCTCTTTAACCTGCAACTACTTCACCACTACAGACAGAAGGACCTTGAAAAGCTGAAAAGACCCACCTCTCCTGTCCCCTGTCTCAGGAGAGTTTCAGGAACGATCACTTCCTACCTGGAGACCAGTCTGTGAACTAATTTCTTGATCGTTCTCTCCCCATAGAGAGCTCCTAACCCTCTGCTCACACAGATGATGTGAGCTGACTGACTCCCCCGGTCCAAATCCAGCTGGACCAACCCTGCGGCCTCTCCTTGGACTGACGCCGGGCCTCAGCTCTCACAAACGGACCAGGAGCCGCGTCCTTAACCAGGGCCTCCCCTTAGAATCCCCTGGAGCACATCCTACACACCACACTGGTGCTCCCACAGGACCGAGAGAACTCTGTGGGGAGGGCACCAGGGAGGTTATCACTTAACACTGGTCATGTGACCCTGATAGGAAACCAGGTTGAAACCACTTAAAAGATTCTTCCTGAACCATTTCAGTGAATATGAACCCCTCGAGGTCAGGTCCCCACTCTAAGAAGTTATGAATCTGCAGGTCTTAAGTGGGGCCATGAAATGAGTCTTTAGCAAATTCCGCTTCTTCTGATGCTTCTCCCAGAAGACCCACACTCAGGAGCCCTGAGCTTCAGCTCTCACAGTCAGCACAGCTGAGACCTCTCAGGAGAGGAGGGTTTAGGGCAGGAATTTCTTAGGTCAAGGTTAGGACCAAGCAGAGAATCCTCCAGTACTTGGGGTTCAGGCCTTTATAAGAGACCCTGGGTGAAGTGCTGTGGGCTCCCCAGGCTGACTGTGGATGGGTCTATTCAAACCAAGAGGAGCAGGAATCTGGTGAGCACTGTGAGGGTGTCATTGAAGGGGGGGGGGGGCTGTGAAGTAGAACCTGGGGTTCAGCAAGATTGCTGACCACAAGGTGGGTGGTTGTCTAGAGCAGGTGCTCACAGGACTGGCTGGCGTGAGTTCAAGGACCTGCAGATGCTGGTCCCCAGACAGATGCTGAGGCAGCAACAGCATGGGGCAGTTCAGGTAAGCGCTCAACAATACTCTGTATAATCCTTATTGGAACCATCACAATGTCCCAGCAGTTACAGAGGGGGGAAAGTACAATGGAGAAATGATGGTAAATATCCAATTATTTGAGGCTTAAAGGCAGTAAGGAAACTAATTGTTACAGATATCATCCCTCTGCGCTAACAAAGACTTTGTTAGGTATTCTTCCCTGCAACCTTAAATCAGTAGGTTGACACTTCATTCATTACACACCAACTTTATCACAAGAAACCATCAGTTTTATTAACATGTAATATCACACAAAGTCAGAATAAAACCTTTTCCAATCCACTGTGTATCTGATTAAATACAGATTACAAGCATAAACAATGATATTCATTTCTCTGATACAATGATCTCAGAACTGTGATTTCTACAGTTACAAAGTGGAGGCTAATCATTTATGAATGAAACAAGATGTACACTAATTACATGACTTTTCTGAAAAGGGTTTCCATACATTCCTAGGGTATCAGAGGCATCTTTATTTGAAACATGTTCAAATATGTTTCATGACATCTGTTGATATTATAAAGATACAACATGAATGACTAACACCTCCATTTAAATATTCAGTCTACATGCTACATCACTGTGTCCTTAATCTCCTAATGGAGAATAAATATAAATTGATTTCTCTCTCGGATAGAAGGCCTTGTCTCATCTTTGAGTAGCAATCATCAAAAACATAACTTTGCATACACACTAAAAATGAAGCATAGCAGCATGGAGTAATTTGAGTGTTGAATAACATATCTTGGTTTTCAAATAATCACAAATCGTGTCAATATAAACAAAGATACGTTGCTAATAATTGTACATTTCTAAATACCAACCCTTCATCTTGTGATCCATACTAACATATCAATTTTTTGTCTGTTTTAACTATGGATTACTATCTACAATACTTCTCTTGAAGAGAACTTCAGAAGACAGGATTGATGAAATGCTTTCTAGTGTGTGGGCTTCCCTGATAGCTCAGTTGGTAAAGAATCTGCCTCCCACTCCAGTATTCTGGCCTGGAGAATTCCATGGACACAGTTCATGAGGTTACAAAGAGTTGGATACGACTGAGCAACTTTCACTTTTCCTAGTGTGAAATTTCTCGTATTTATTTAGATTTAATTTTCATTAAATACGTTGCTACATTGTTTTATGTCATTTCTTATCTTTCTTAAATAAATGGTCCTCTATTTTCTGAAGTGTATGTTTAGGACAAACCTCTTCCATCACATATTTTATTACTAGAGTTTCTTTCTAGCACGTGCTTTCTGATGTTTAGTAAGGTGAGAGCTCTGATTAAAGTCTTTGCCACTTTCCTTACATTTATAAGGTTTTTCTTCCAGTATGAATTCTCTGATGTTGAGTAAGATGTGAGTTCTTGATAAAGGCTTTTCCACATTTTTTACATTTGTAAGGTTTCTCTCCAGTATGAATTCGCTGGTGTTGAATAAGACTTGCGTGGTGACCGAAGGCTTTTCCGCATTCTTCACATTTATAAGGTTTCTCTCCAGTATGAATTCTCTAATGGTAAGTAAGACCTGAGCACTGGTTAAATTCTTTGCCACAGTCCTTACATTTATAAGGTTTCTCTCCAGTATGAATTCACTGGTGTTTAGTAAGAGTTGAGTAGTGATTGAAGGCTTTTCCACATTTTTTACATTTATAAGATTTCTTTCCAGTATGGATTACTTGATGTTTAGTAAGACATGAGTCCTGTCTAAATGCTTTGCCACAATACTTACATTTATAAGGCTTCCCTCCAGTATGAATTTTCTGATGGTGAGACCTGAGCACTTGTTAAATTCTTTGCCACAATCCTTACATTTATAAGGCTTCTCTCCAGTATGAATTCTCTGGTGTTGAGTAAGATTTGACTTCTGATTAAAGGCTTTGCCACACTTCAGACATTTGTGTCATTTCTGCTGCCTATGAATTATCTGATGTTGAGTAAGACATGAGCTACAAGGAAACACTTTGCCACATTCTTTACATTCGTTTGGTTTCTCCCTAGCATGAACTTGCTGATGCAGACTGAAATGTGAACACCTAAAAATGGCTTTGCCACTTTCCTTACCTTTGTAAGGTTTCTGCTCTGTATGGATTCGCTAATATTGAGTAAGCTTTGAGTTCCGATTAAAGGCTTTGCCACACTTTGTACATTTATAATGCTTCTCCTCTGTATGAATTCGCTGATGTTGACTAAGATTTGAGCAAGACATAAATGCTTTTCCACATTCCTTATATTCATAAGGTTTCTTGCCATTGTGGATTTGCCAATCTTGACTAAGCTTTAAATTCTGATTATAGGCATTGCCACACTCTGTACCTTTGAGAGGTTTCCATCCTGAATGAATTTTCCTGTGTCTACTTAGACTGGATGAGTTAGTAAAGGCTTTCTCACATTTCTTACACTTGCAACTTTTCTGCGGATCCTGAATATTCTGCTGTTGAGTAAGATTTGAAGACTGATTAGAAATATCACTATATTCACAATTATAAGTCTTCTCTCCTGTATGTGTACTCTTCTTGAGTGGAAGACCTGACGTTTGATAAAAGCTATTCCTACATGTACTATTTTTAGAATCCTTGTCTGAAGATTGAGGTCCCTGATGTTTCATAGGGTTAGAGTCTTGTTCAGTTTTAGACCCAGTTTCATTGCATGAATAGCTTCTCACTCCATCGTAAATCTTATTGCAATTATTGGGGGTAGAGCTCTTCTTACTTAAGGCCTGACTCGTGTTATTACATGTGAGAAGTTGTCCCATATTAACCATATCATGATGTGTATTGAACAATGATGGTAGGATTAACTCTTTTCCATTATTATCAACATTACACATTTTGGAACAGAGAGAAACTGTCTCTTGGTGGAAGAATAATGGCCCCTTGCTCACAGATCCCTCAGATTGATTATATTGTGAGTTTTCCCCATCAGTTTTAAATTTCTGGTTTTCAGATGTGCTTGAATGTATGTGTAATCAAAGCCTGTGTTCAGAGTGGTTTGAATGAGTATTTGCGCTAGAGACTGGATAACTTTCCAGATTTTCCACATTTCCCTTCAGAGAAAGTGTGTGTTTCAAAAAGTGATTTAAGCCTTTGCTGGAAAAGATACACTTCTCTGCAGATGTTAACTGAAATGGGTGTTTTCCCCAATTTGACTCACATTGCTCATTTCCTTTGGCAGTAATGTCTGCATTATGTGAAACCGTCTCAGTTCCTTTCTGTCCATATAAACATCTTCTAGGTCTTTCACAGACCCCCGTATATTCCTAGTCTTTCATTAGATGTTCATGTCCAACGTGAGCTCTTTCATATGTTCCTAGGTTTGCCTTTTGGATTAAATTTTCTAACCTTGGATTCTTTGATATCAAAGCATGGGTGTTGTGAGAAGACACAGCTGAAAGATACGAAATAAAAGTTTATCAAAATAAAAGATATCAAATCTACTATTCTCAGTGAATATCCTTAAAGATGTAGAGAAAATAGAGACACAAGAATCAAGATGCAAGAGGATTAGGCAGACTTGGAGTTCATCTCTCTCCACGAATGCATCAAGCATACATCAGAAAAGGAACAACTCCACAGAGGCCCCTCTTAACACTAGCAGAGGACCTACAACACCTAACAGGACAAGAAAGTTTCCCACTTAGCCAGGTAGGACCAAAGAAAGAAGCAGGAAGAGGAGAGGAAGTGGGATGGGACTTGCAACCCTGGGGGATCTGAAGAGAGGAGGTCTCCATGTCCGGAGAAGCCCTTCACTGGGGGGAGCCCAGTTGGGACAGAAGGGGAGCCTCATCCTCTGTGGGAAGAGAACATGGCAACGGTCTGTGGCAGCAGGACAGAGTGAGACCTGCACACGGGGTACTGACCCCTGCCCTGCCCACCCAGCCTGAGAGGGTGTCCACCGCTGCAGACAAGGGCTGGGTGCTGGAACGTGGGGTGTGGAGAGCAGACCCAGGCAGAGGACTGCTGTGGGCTGTGAGGAGACATCCTGAGGGGACGGGAGGGAGGGAGGAGCTCTGTAAATGGGTTGCTTGTGGAGGAAGACTGAACCACCATAGAGCAGAGCGCCATTGTTGAGTGATGTCGGAAGGGAAGAACCCCACCACAGCCTCTCTCCCCCTGTGCTGGCCCCTCGTTCCTGGCACTAGGAAGGGCTGCCACCTGGGTGGGCTCTATTGAGCCCCCACCACGGCCTCCCCCACGCACCTCATCCACAGTCAGCAGACCCCTGTGCTCTGGGGCAGCCTCTGGAGCAGACAGCTATGAGTGGGCCACACACACAAATGGAGCTGAAAGCACAGCTGAGCCCCAGGGTTAAGGAGAAAAGCTGAGGTCTCACCTCACAGCTGCAAAAGCCATGTTCTTACACCCACCACAGACTTTGTCAACTCAGTCCCTATAGAGCATCTGAATGGACGACCAGGGCTCCCCCAGTCATGGAGGTGTAGCTTTAGCAACTGTAGACTTTGTGGGGATGTATGTGAGGGGGTGGGGCCAGGCCGGAGTCTGAGCTGCCCCATAGCACCACAGTGGATCCACCTCCATGAAAGCAATTCTGGGCTCTGATTTCACTGGATCTATGCTGGTGACTTGGTGAAAACAACATCTGAGAGACAGCAGGGCCATGTGCAGAGATACCCATGGTTGAGGTGGGGCCACGTGCAGTGCCGACCAGGGTCACATGAGACTCACACGAGGCGTGAGCACACCCCGAGGGGAACATCCCCAGAGCAGCAGTCCTCAGGGGCTTCTCTCCCGGGGTTGTGGTCCAATCCCACCTGCCTCCACCACAGATCAGAATCATAGTGAGGAAACAGATCTGGGGGCTTCTACTCCACCAACCAGGGAGCAGACCCACCAGAGACAGGGCGGTGACAGCCACAGGGCCATGGGGAAACTCCCCTCAACGTCCAGGGCAGGCTCGGGTCACAGTAACAGCAATCAAAGCCTAGATCAAGGGGAGAGGGGCACAAGCCTGTGGACCAACCTCACCCTCTAGGGGGCAGACAACAGCACAAGAGGAGCTAGGATCCTGCAGCCTGCAGAACAGACCACAGACCCAGAGAATGTGAGAAAATGAGAGGACAGAGAATTGTGGTGCAGAGGAAGGAGCAACACAAAGAGCCACCGGAGCCGCTGAATGGAGAGGAGACCGGTGGTCTAACGACGGCTTTCTGACCTAAGTCATCTTAAATGGAGGCGCCGCTAGGGTCCTTCTCACTCTTTAGCCCACTTGTTATTTTAGCGTGGCCTATTAGATGTGTCGGAAAAGGCAATGGCACCCCACTCCAGTACTCTTGCCTGGAAAATTTCATGGATGGAGGAGGTTAGCAGGCTGCAGTTCATGGGGTCGCTAAGAGTCGGACACGACTGAGCGACCTCACATTCACTTTTCACTTTCATGCATTGGAGAAGGAAATGGCAACCCACTCCACTGTTCTTGCCTTGAGAATCCCAGGGACGGGGGAGCCTGGTGGGCTTCTGTCTATGGGGTCTCACAGAGTCGGACACAACTGAAGCAACTTAGCAGCAGTAGCATTAGATGTTTCAACCTAAACATCATAAATGATACTGATGTAGGTCTAATCAGAAAGTGAGGACACATAGGAAAAAGTCTGGGGAAGCTGATAACAAAATTAATAAAGAAGTAGTTCTTGAGAAATTAAATAAGAAATGAGACTTTAAAAATATGGTGGGAACACAGGGGACACTATCAATGCTCTGTGGAGATCTAATCGGGAAGGAAATCTAAAAGAGTAGGTATATACTAAAACCGATTCTCTTTGCTGTAAACATTGTAACCCAGTTATACTCCAATGAGAATGTTTTTAAAATATTATATTATCAAAAAATTGTAATAGTTTGAAACCATTAAAAAATATAGTGGAAAATATTTTAAGATCTTATGCCAATTTATTTGAAAATTCTTTGAGCTAATTGAATATATTTAAGTCTTTTAGCATTGAGGAATTGCGGCAAATACACTTAGCATTTCATGGGTTCATATGAAGAAAACAAACTTTGAAGTAACACTGAGATTTGCATTCTCTCCTTTAGGGAGGTTTTGGTTTATGCAGTGAAGAAATTACTTAAATTTAAAATGTATAAGATCATATTTGTAGCTTCCAGTGTTTTAGAAATTATAAGTCAGAAAAAAACCCTCTGTCCACAGTATTCCTACTGTGTATGGAATAGTATTCCTATTGTATGTCTACAATTCCACTCACATACTACCATCTACCAGTAGAAACAAATTTTAATAGGAGCGTCTTAGAGTTATTTATAAATGTGCAGTTTTCCTAGGGCCCCCAGGAAATGCAATAGTACCGATTCATGCAGGTTGTCACAGGCCAAGAGGAGGTTTTCGGTTCTCACTGTGATTGAGAAAAGTAATCAGTGGAGATGAATTCAGGAATGACTTAAGAGGCAGGATGGGGCACGTGATATCCGCCTATGACAGCAGCAGAAAGAAACCCAGGCTTCTCTAAAATCATTTCCACTGAAGCAGATCTTCCCAA